CACTGAGCCATCTCCCTGGCCCTGCATATCGTAGATGCTTAACACACACAGAAGAGGATGGATTCTGGCTCAAGATCGTGTTGTCTCCTCATTGCTCATTCACATCAGTTAATCTTTTACTCCTAAATTATTCACATGTATTTGCTGCCAGAATATTCTATTAAACAGATCATTCTCTCAAGCTGCTGTGATGTGCTCTGTGACCTAATGTTTGGTCTTGCCATTTCAAATAGAGGTAGAAGGCAACATTTACAAGGAGCACCTCTAGCTGCCCTAAATTTCAGAGCAACAGGGTAATGGTGGAACCGTTTAATGAGAACATGGCATGAACTATATTCTGTTTGCTCAATGAGGGAAGGAACACCAATATTAGGATTTAACTTTCTGCATCTCTCCCCCCTCCCCAGTACCCCAGACAGCAAGTCTTGCTCTGTAGTCCATTCTAGTTTGGAATTCGGTATGCTATCCAGGCTGGCCTCAGCTTCTTGATCTTCAGCCTGCCAAATGTTGGGATTACAGGTGTGCATCACTTTACCTGGCTGTTTTCTGCCTCAAAATACTTGGGTAGTCATCATTAAGCAGTGAAATCTGATGGCGGATTTGTTTACACTTAGTGGAGATTTAATTTGTGTATTTGTACTACACTCCAAAATGTACATCTATCTTCGCATGTATTTGGTACCCTTCCAGAGTCATCTCATACCTAATTCAACCAGTAACTTGTGTACCTAAACTGTTCCAGATCTTAGAGTACACTCTGGGCTTCAAACAGAGAGCAAGACACAGTCTCTGACCATGAAAGGCTTTGATTCCTGCAGGGAAAACTGACGACTAACTCTGCAGTCAGGATAAGCCTGGTGCTGTGCAATGCAGGCTCAGTGCTCCCAGGAGCTGAACTTGAAGCTGCAACTCGAAGGACAGACAGGCTTTGCTTGGAGAAGGGAAAGCTGGGCCCAGGAGGCTCTGGGCCCGGAGTGCTGGGGCTGGAGCTGCTCTCCTGCAGGCGGGACCAGATCTCAGCACTGGTGCTCACGAGCTGGGCTGCTTGCGCACTTCGGCCTTGTCATCTGTTCCACATGACGCTAAAGCGACACCCCGAGAGAGGCTTGAAGGAGGAGCTGGAACGTGCCAACAATCCTTGGCATAAAGGTTGCTTTCCACATGGTCCTCGCCTAGCTTGGCAGGTTTGTACCTGGACACTCCTTTTCACTAATGGGATCATGACTTAAGTTGTTTTTGTTCCACAATAATTTATTCTCCTATTATCAGACATTTAAAGGAATTATCTTGTTAAGAAGTTTTCATTTTTTTATTTTCTAAGTTTACAATCACATTTTCTATGAATGATAAATGGCTTTTGTAAGGAAACAAACTTTTAAAATCCTCATATATAAAGATTCTTAGGAAGTCTTTTAGAAGGGTGGAGCAGGAAACACAGAACCTTCCCAGGATACAGGTATTAAAATGCAGCGGCAAGCAGGTGTATGTGTCGCTTCAGCACTCTAGGAGGCCGAGGTGGAAGGATTCCAAGGTGAGCCCAGCCTGGCCAACTTAATGGTTTAGCAAAACTCTATTTCAAAAATAAAATATAAAAAAAGGCTGGAGATGCAGCTTCAAGGCTCCGGTTCGGTTTCTTCGGCCAAGAAAATCCCTGACCTATGTATTCACAAAGGTTCCACCTAAGCGCTGGCTGGAGTCGCAGCACACTTCAGACCCTTGGGCCACACGGCTGTGGGCTCTGCCCCTCTGCCCCAACAGCACCTCATCTCGTGTCTGTACCACAGCCCTGGCCTCCGATCCTGGTGCTTCCCTCCGATGTCAAGGTACCAGGGCGGGGGGAGGGGAGTGCCTGACGATGTACACGTGTGTTGGGGGGTGGGGTTGGCTACCCATCCTGTGGGGCAAGTCTTGGCTGGTGGGAAGCAGGGGCTGGTGATTAATTCTTGCTCTTCTTCCCCTGGTATACACTGTCCTGAGGCAACTTCGAGGGAGGTACCCTGGAGGGGCTGAACAAGCAGTGGCACTGCACTGAGGCCAACTTGATAACCAATGTCCTTGCCTGCTTCTCTTCCTCGTCCCTGCCTCCCTCCTGCTGTGCTCTGTAAGGACCCCAGGGAAGACTCAGGGGCATTTGCAGTCATCACTGTACTACCGTTTCTTTCCCAGGTAGTTACTTATATGAATCGTGAAATGCTGGAAAGATTGCTCATGAAAGCCATGCAGCCCGTGACAAGCAGTGAATGGAATTGATTGTCCTTGCTGTGTACATTTCTGTCCTGGGACAGAGTACACTGAAGACGCCCCCAGTGCATCATTACCTGGAGGGCCTGGAGGGCCTGGTGGCCCTGTGGGGCCTGGTAAGCCAGGACAGCCTGGGGACCCAGGAGGCCCCACTGAGTCCATTCCTGGGGTCCCTTGCACTCCTTTGTCTCCTTTCAAGCCGGGCCACCCAGGGGGTCCTCTAAAGCCAGGCCTTGATGATCCTAAGAGAAAGAATACATTGTGGTATTTAACTTCTTTCTGGATGAATATATATCTATTTTACAGTTGAAAAAGTGATGCATTCTTATTTACAATTGAGAAATATATAATGCATAGAAAATGAGAGGTGAATACTCAAGCTTCATTCACCAGTAGCCTTGTTAAATTAGATCACAGTGGGTCGAAGTGCAGAGCGCTCCATTCCAGCATGTGATTGGTGGACTGCGTCACAAGGGAGTTGGAACAGAGTGTGGGGGATGCTGGAGAGGTTTTTTTTTTTTTTTTTAATTTTTTATAAGGATTTGTGAGAAATTCTTTCTTGTATTCTATTTTGTTCATTTTTTTTTTTTTTTAAAGACTAGAGTCCGTGCTCCAATTGAAAGGGACAAAAAGTTGTAGTTGGACTTAATTCCTGCCAATTGTGTTGGGTATAAAAGAGGCCAGAGCTGGGTGTGGTGGCACATGCCAGTGATCCCCACACTCAGGAAGCTGAGGGAGGAGGATCACTGTGAGTTCGAGTCTAGCCTGGGCTACAAAGTGACTATGAGGCCAGTCTGAACTGGATAGCAAAGCTCTGTCTCAAAAAGACCAAAAAATTTTATTTTTGTTTTATGTTTTTCCATAAAATAAAACTATATAAGTTAAGAGCAAAAGCTCACTAGCCTAGACTGGCTCTAAACCCAGCCATCCTTCTTCCTCAGGCTCCCAAGTGCTGGGATTGCAGGCATGCTCTGCTAAGAATTTCTAAATTAAAACAAGAATTAAGCAGTTACTGTGCCCTAGCCTATGATCACCTACTTTGTAGGAATGGCCTTTTAAAAAAATGTATCAGAGAGGGCATTTCAGTATCTTTTTTTTTTCTGGTGGTACCAGGGATCAAACTCAGGACCTTGTGCTTGCCAGGCAAGCACTTATTCCACTGAGCTATCTTCCTGGCCCCTGTGTGCCAATTTGTATCAACTTCTGCTTTCTTTACCCCCATTGGTCACAAACATAACAAAAAGCTAGAAATATAGTTAGATCAATTAATAGAGCATTGGTTTTACATAAATAATACGCACTTAACAGAGAGTGGTGTACTCTTTTAAATAGTATTTCTATTTATGTTCCATACAACATGGACATACCAGGGCTTCCAGGAACTCCGGGGAGACCGCTAGGACCTGGGAATATATAGCATGAATTCATTAGTTACAAAGCATAAATGTTCCCCTGTCCATTTTTGAGATCTTGAGAGACACTATAGTAATCAATGTAATAAAGAATTTTTGTATTTTGCCCCCACTGTCACATAGATAAATATTAGGAAATGTTACATTTTAGACAAGCCAATGAGGAAACATTCTTAGATAGCTAAGTCTCAAAGGTAAATAAACCACCTGGTCATTTTCACATAACTGAGCAGAGATGTGCTCTGTATTTGGTACTCTGGTAGGAGTTCAGATGAGAGAGAATCAGGCACCACTGGAATACCAAGGTCATGACTTTGTGTTTCAAACCAGATTACTGCTAGCTGCAATGCTCTATAACAATAAATAGGATATTTCAGTGTCTATAATGAATATATACTGCAATCTTTAAGTAAAAATCTCATTCTGAATTTCATTTTTTATTAATAATCTGCCTAGATGAGTGATCCTCTTCTTGATTGAACATTAGAATAATCTAGGGGAGATTTTATAATCTGTCAGTCTCCAAGAAACTCCTTCATACAATAAAATAAGAGTGTGTTGTGGTTTAGATCTAGAATGTCCCCCAAAGCCTCATGTGTTCAGAGGTGGAGCTTTTGGAAGGGAATTGGGTCATGAAGGTGCTTGCTATACTCGTCAGAGCAGCATGTAGCATTATGAGGTACAGTTTGGTAAGAAGAGGCTCTTCCACACTCCCTCTGCATCCTGGCTGTCAGTGGTCAGCAGCTGTCCTCTACCTAGTCTCTTTCTCTCTCCTGTTTCTGCCTTAAAGGCAGTGAACCATGGGCTGGAACTGTGAACCAGAACAACCTCTCCTTTAAGTTGCCAGTGTTGAGTATGATGTCTCAGTGATTAGACGGTGACTACAAGAGATTTTGGTATCAACTTTCGGCCATTACTATGATTTTACCTGGTTTGTAGTTAAGGAGTCTGTGGAAATAGTACAATAGGAGGAGTTTGGAAAGGTTTGGAGATTTGAGCTAGAAAAGCCCCAAAAACTACAAGCTATGTAATGGGAGATTCTGGTTGAAGTTTAAAGACAAGAATACTGATAATAATGCAGATAGTGAAATACAGACTGAGGAGATTTCCGTTGGAGATGAGAATTATTTTGCCAGTTGAACTAAAGGTCAAATGTACTATATTTTGGGAGAAAATTTGTCCATATTTTGCTCATGTCCTGGGACTTCAGGAGACAGATTAATGGTAATGGTTAATTCAGCTGGCAGAGTAAATTTCAAAGCAGCCCAACATTCAGGTTGTATCATGGATACTGCTGACAGCTTTTAAGCATATGCACTATAAGAATTAGCAACAAAAAACAGAACAAATTTTTGAAAAAAATTTCTTATGGCCAGTAAGTTGGGACCTATAAATTTGGGCTGAGGATAGCTTGGTTGATGAAAAGATTAGTTTAAAAAGAAGCCACGTACTTTGCACCAGGATACTAGGAAAGATGCCTTGAAGGCATAATAGGCTCAAAGGTAGAAGACTTTGAGAAGAGGATCTCAGGGAACTCAGCTCATTCAGTGCCAACTAGGAGAGTGTTTCTTGGAGTTCAGCCATCCTGGCAGTCAGAGGCTACTACAGCCATGATCCAAGGGGGCCTGGCAACTGTTCTTGTTGGCAACAGACCATCACATTATCCACATGGACTGGTATTAGAGAGATGTAGAATGCAAAAATTGGAGGAATAAGGAAGGCATCCTCTCAGATTTTAGGAGGTAGTCTTGGAGGCCAGACAGCATGCTTCTGAGAGGGCAATGTGTGAAACTGTGAGAGTTAAGGCTAGAAGTGCAGTAGAGGTCCTAGGAAGTTGGAGATGCCAGAAGCATCAAATGTCTACCAGGGAAATCTTAAGGCCGTGATTGGAGTCAGCCCTAGAGAGAGGTCACAAGGACTGTAACCCACAATGCCCTAGGGGCAGGGCCACACAAGACCTTTGGACTGTACATCTTGCCACAACTTGCCCTGGGTGGTAGACATGGAGCTACTGGCCTTTCAGGTGCTAGCCTTGCTTTGGTCAGAATTGTATTTCTCTTAGGGAATGTTTACCCTACACCTTTGCATGTTATAAATATTTAACTTTCTTTTTGATTTTCCTAGGAGCTCATGGCTAAGAGTTTGCCTTGATTCTCAGGGGAGATTTTGGAGTTGGACTGTTTAGCAATGCTGGAAATGTTAAAACTTCATCAACTTTAGCTTTTTGTATGAAGAGATAGTCAAGCATTTTAGGGGCCAGAAGCGTAATGTTATGGTGGAGGTCTAGAATACCCTCTAAAAGCCTCATGTGGTCAGAGGTGAGTGAATTGTGGGGCTACTACAGTGATCAGAGTTAAATATGCTGTAGAGAGTTGGGGACTTGTTGGAAGAGGTAGGTCACCAGGGCACGACAGGGGAGGATCCATCTTCCTGTCCTGCTCCTGCCCCACTCTCTCTTTCCCCTTTCTAGTTGCCACAGGTCTGCAGCTGCCCTCTGGCTGGCTCTTCTACCATGCTGTTTCTGACTTGTAGCCAGAGAACAGTGGACTAGAACTGTGAGCCAAAGTAGCTGTCCTCATACTAAGTTGTAGATGTCCAGTACTGTGTCTCGCTGACGAGTAAGCAACTAAGCCAGAGCTGTAGGGTTGTGACTCTGTCAGGATGCACGGAAGTTCCCAGGGATTCTAACTAGTAGCAAGGGATGAGTTACTGCTTGAGAACTCTCAGCCCTATCAAGTGATGGCCCATATGCAAGGATAGCTTAAATCCATGGTGCCTAGGACAGAGCATCATTCCACGATTCAGAAAACCACGGCCTCAGCCCTATTCTACCCTTGTTACGGTTTATGCGGACTTTCTCAAGTTGTAGCTTTTTGGGGTCTCAATTTTTTTCATTTGTAATTACACTGAGATTGCTAATCTCTTCCACATTCTGTTGCTTCTTTCTGACTATGTTAATGTCTTTCTGCCGACTTGAACTTCAGGCTTGGCTACCTAAAGAAAATTTAATTGTCTTCTATGGCATACTGATTATAAAATTTTCATGTGAAAATATGAAAATTATGAGACAGCAAAAAAGGTGCAATGCCTAAAAAGGAGAGGTTCTTGTCCTCCTCTACCTTCAAAATCCTGAATCTATAAGTGCATAGTAGCAATTAGAGTGAAAGAAAGAGCAAGGGCTGGGGATACAAGCACCTGCCAGCCAAGTACAAGGTCCCAAGCTTGATCCCTGGTTCCCCCTTAACCCCTCCCCCCCAAAAAAAGAAAGAAAGAACAATGACCAACAAAGGCTTTAAGAAGCAATTTCTTCTTACCTTGTGGGCCACGAACTCCTTTGGGGCCTGGTGGGCCTGGAATTCCTTCATCTCCCTTTTCCTGGTATGCATCATAATATTCTGTCTTAAAGGAGAAAAAAATGAATAAACAGAAAGGATGGCAGTTTATGGATTATCAACCAAGTGCAGTTATTCCAGTTGCCTTATTTTGGCCAAAAAGACACTTTTTTCCCTGAATCCTTAGCTTGGCAGGAATATGATGTTTATGTATATACAGGTGGATATATTTAAATATCAATTTGACCTTTTTAGTTATGGTGTGGTCCAGCTTACATATTTATATGCACACACATATCTATACATACATGTACATATACATTTATACACTAAAATAGAAATTTCACAAAAATATTAATATCTTTATGAAAAATGATGAGGTCTGATCATTTTTTTTATCCTGTTCTACTTAACTGTTTTAAAATGCTGGTCTTGGTAGACTAATTTTATTTCAAAGTATGGTGAGACCCACACGTCCGTAAGTAACGTGTACACTGTTTACAGGACACCCATTGCCTGTAAGACTCAAGGAATATTGGATCTGACATGCTCAGTGGATCCGCTCTTGGGCTCCTTCACCATTTTTGTCCAAAGCAGAACTGCTTTTGAAGTTAACAGAAGCTACAAAACGAGTTATGTTAGGATTGAGCACCAGCAAACACACAGTAAGCTCGGAATGAAAAGAATTCTTTTGAAGTCCAATGGCAAATAGAATTCAGTGCATTTACTTTGAAGGAAAGAAGAAAGAAACATACTCTTTGGGCCTTGGTTTTCTTCTGTTGCAGGGACCAGTTATTTTGCTGACCATTTTAAAGACTAGGTAACAAGAGTCTTGTGATGAAGCAATATGTGTAAGATCACAAAAATAGTAATAATAATGACACAATAATGCCTCTCCTAAACCCCATAATGGTGCCTGTGCTCCTGCCAGGTGTTGGACACTGTGAAATGTGCCTTCAGGTAAAAGCCCATTTAATCATCCTGGCAACCTCCACAAAACCATTTTGAGGCTGCTTTTATTATAAAGATACAGATTTGGGGACAGGGCGATAGTTCAGTGGTCTAAGCACCTGCCGGGCAAGCAAAGACCTGGGTTTGATCCCTGGTACTACATGCTACTCCAGCCCCAGAATCCTGAATGCACAGTGCTGGCCACAGAGACCTGGAGTGGGGGTGCACGCCTGTAATCCCAGCACTGGGGAGGATAAAACAGGAAGCTCACTATGAGTCTGGGCTGCATAGTGAGACCCTGTACAAAGTACATAAATAAAAATGATTTTTAAAAAAATGATTCAGATTTTGGGGACTCTCCTTCAGTTAGTGACTTAAATTACTTAGCTGCAGAGTCTGAGCATCACACTCTTAGTAAGACACCCCTTCATTTCACCTTCACCCCATGACTTTTTATTGTCATGAGCCCTTTGCTCCAACCTTCATACTCAAGTGTGGCTGCTTTGTTTAGTACACTGAATGTGACACCCACTTTCCTTCGAGATAGGAGAGGAACAGATTTCAAAACTCCAAGCCTGGTCCCTTTTGAGCCACATACTATTGAACGTAGCCTTTCCTCAGCCTGTGCTGCAGAGAGGTATGGTGTCTGCTACAATGGAGCCCGAGCAATTTTACTGGCCCAGCATTAAAACCATGGCTGAGCTTCAGCTGGCTAAAAGTGTAAGAGTTGCCATATCCAGGAACTGAAGGAAGTGAGAATGGCCTCAGCCCTACGTGCCCCAGGTGTCTTCACCTTCAGCTTCCTGACTCCATCCCAGGCATGGGATCATCTTGGGCCAAATCTGATTAGACTAAGTTTTTCTCCTCCAGAGCCCAAGATAGCATTACAGAGCCTTCCATGGGCCAAATAGAATCAAGTAGATGTATTTATCCATTGCCAAATGGGCAAATAATGACAACAGCTATTTTTGTTTTTTTTGGCCTAGTTTGATAAAAAGGTAAATGCTATCAAGTCTGTCACAACAATTAAGACACACAAAACTTCCTTGACACTTTGAAGTACTTTATCAAGTATGACATTAGTGTTATCTCTAGTTACACTTACTGGACCGCGAAATCCTGGAAGGCCAGTGTCTCCTTTCCATCCCTACAGTGAAAGACAGTTATAAATTATGGATGCAATATTTACACATTTGGTGTGGTTAGAAAACAAAATGCACAGCTGAACAAGAACCCCTAAAATGAGTGCTATTTACATATAATGAACAAAAAAATTAGAAGGATATTGTCTTTATTTATTGAGGAGCACACATCTGGGCCAGGAATCCTTTCTGTACCACATCTATGCATCTGTGGGTTCTCTAGGCTTCTTCCACTCCACCACCTTCCTCAGATGGTCACCTGGCACATCTGTGTCATCAGATGAGGTGACAGGAAGTCCAGACTGAGAACTTCACTCAACGCCCTATGGCCTTGCCCTAACCAACCCCCTTTGTTTCAAGCACACATTCCAGAATTCTATCAAACATGATACTAATCAAATAATAAACGTTAATGGGTGCGTGTCTACATACAGAAATTATATGAGAATGTGACACATGCTTAGAAGCAAGGAGGTGGAACAGAGTTCATGATTAATTGATCGCAATTCTTTAGCAGTTTGTGACCCAGGCTGAGAGTCGACCCCATCTGCATTTGACCTTGATGACCCAGAACTTCCTGCCATGCGGGCCTTTCCCAACCCCTTCCGCAGGGGCGCTGAAACCTCACTGTGGGTCCTAGACAGCCGGTTTCAACTACACGGAAAGAGTTTAGTATCTTTCTGCCTTTAAATGAAGTTGCCACATCTTTCTCTTCTTCTTAAATATCCTAATGTGTTTTAATAAGGCCTTTGATTCAATGCCATATTCTCAGGAAGAAAAGCAGTAACCAACCAATTGAGAAAAAGCTAAAGATAGGATGCTAGGAAGCATGGTACCTTAATGCCATCTTCACCCATTAATCCAGGGAAGCCCCTGTTGCCTTTGGGTCCCTAAAGAAAAGATCAAATAGAAATGGGCTAGAAAACACCAATGAGTTGCTCTTGCATGAAGCAATTAAATTGACATATAACAATTATTCAAATTTATAGGCTGTAATGTGACACTAAAATATATTACATTGATTATATGCATTACTTTTCATACTTTGTACAATGTGTGAATCAGGGTAACTATATAAATCATTTATCCTTTCACTGTGGTAAAACACTCAAAATCCTTTCTTTTACCTATTTTGAAACACATATTATTGTTATCCATGGACACCCTCCTGTGCAGTGAATAATGAACAGATCCTCAGAACTTACTCTTCCTATCAGACGTTGGTTTTCTACTAGTTGACCTCCTTCTCTTACCTGTCGCTCCACTACGTGTGCACCTCCCCTCCTCAGCCCCCTTCTCTCCTTTCTCTCAGTCTCTCAGTGTTGAGCAGTAGGCCCAAGGACTCATACATAATGGGCAGGTGCTGCATCACTGTGTCACATTCCTGCCCCCGATCACCTTCTTTAGGTTCCACATATGAGTGAGAGCAGTGAGATTCATTTCTCTGCATCTGGATTAGCATGGGTTCATCCGTGTTAAAGAGTGTGCTCAGTTGACCTCTCCAAATTATGATCCTTAAATGTAGTTTTCAAAATTTATAAGCTCTTCATTTGTTTGTAGCTTTTTTTTTTTTTTTGACTCAAAAATCCTTATTCATCTAATCAGACTGCCATTTTCCTTACATCAATGGGCCAAGTCAGGTCTTACCTCAGTGCCAGGGAAGCCGGGAGCACCATCTTTGCCAGGCTTTCCCTAAAACAAAAGTAAAACAATAACATACAAGGTAATAAATATGGATAACCTTAATAAACATAGAAAGCTTAAATGATAACAACTGCCTGCTCTTGATCTCAGGTAAGAAAGATTCCACGAGGCTCCCATTCAGGTTCAGTGAGGAAAAGCCATTGATCACAGAGGAAGCCTGGACCATCTTCTATGAAGGTAGAAGCTAATCAGAGTGGAAGCCCAGAGTTAGAGGACGGAAGAAAAGATAGTAACGTTAAGCTTAAATCACTAGAGTCGACACTGTCCATCTAAGTTTGGGAGGAAAGTTAGGAAGCACTGGGTAGAAGAATGAATATGAAAACCCACAGTCAATTTATTATTTAATTTGAAATGTCAGCATATTTCCCCATGTTTATGTTCTCTATCTACTGAGTATTGTGGTATGTAAGTAGACATGGCCTGTTGACTAGTTATTTAACTGCAAACCATTCCTGAAAGAATTATAATTCATGATGGCTGGATATTTTTCTTAGGAAAAAAACTACTTTTCCAGGGCCAGGGAGATAGCTCAGCAGCATAAATGCCTGCCTGGCAAACACAAAAGGCTGAGTTCAATCCCAGATACTGCAACATGCCTAAAAATAAACACTACCTTTCCCCAGTATATAATGTTCAAAGTTTTTCATAATGTGTGTTTAGAAGCCAGGTGTGTTGCACACCTGTAAACTCAGCACTCAGACTGAGGCAGGAGGATTGCTGCAAGTCTGGGCTATAAGGTGAATTCAAGCCAGTTTGAATTGCATGGTGACACCTTGCCTCAAAACAAAAACAAGAATGCCACAATATGTATGTGTTTAAAGTTGTTCATAGGAGACCAAGGTGGGGTAGTGGGCCTCTGGTGCTTCTGTTTTTCTAGCAGCCCACTTCTGTGCATCATGTGACCTAGGCATCACATGATGCCTTGCCTTCTTTGGCAGCCTCTCTCTTCTCTCCCTTTTCATGTTCCCGATGGTCTGTCAATCACAGGAGCCCACCCACTTCCTCGGCCAATCAGATTATCTTTTCTTCCTAGGCATAGCCATTGTTCCAAAATGAGACACATTACAAACCAAGGTGTGCTAGTCAGATTAATTCTCTGGAGTGTCCTGCATTGACACAAGGAAAAGGATGCTCTCTCTCTGCTCAGATGCCTGAAGCTCTCTGCTGTTATGCGTCATTCTCTCTCCTGTCGTGGAGGAAAATTCATCTGCCAAAGGATGGAATGAGGCTGGTACCAGTCAGAGCAGAAGGAGGAAGAGAGCCTGCCCCTTGAGCTTCTCAGGTACTTAAATAAGTTTCAGTTCCTATGCTTTTACAACATTATTTTTAACTTCTGCCAGTTGGAATTTGGCAGCTCATTTTGGCAAGCTGAAGAGTGTTAGACCTAGGGATGAGCCCACCTGCGGAAGGCTACATGCCGGGAGGCCTGGATCTGTCTCAGCACAATGGTGGGTACTGGGGGGGGGGACAGAGAATGCTGGGGAGGTGGAGGGGAGAAGAGGCCCAGATACTCAGGGTGCATACAGCATCGAATTCCCCAGTTTACCTGTGCGCCAGTTTCTCCAGGAGCACCTTTTTCAGATCCGTATGACTCGCCTGGCAGTCCCTGTGTGAATTAGGGTTGTATTAGTGTTACAGTTTAATGACTTTTTATTTTTTATTTATTTATTTATTTTTTGTGGAACCGGGGGGTTGAACTCAGGCCCTTGGGCTTGCTAGGGAAGCGCTTATTCCGCTGAGCCATCTCCCCGGCCCCAGTTTAATGACTTTTTACTTATACTACTTTTTGTTAATTTGCTTCTTCTGGTTAGCCTGCCATATTTAAAATGAAGTCATGTAAAAGGGAACACTTGTGTATGAATATTGCTTTTCAAACAGATTTCAAAAAGCAGGCGATGAACATGCCGTACTGTGAAGTAGTGCAAGGATTTAGCTAGAAATAGCTACTAGATAATTGCAGAATGCTCCTGTTCTCCCTGCTCACAAGTCAGCATGCTTTTGCACATATTAAGATCGGAAGGTAGAGCCGGCAGCGCAGTAGGTATGAGGTTCTATTTTAGGTGCCACAGGAATACTGTGACTCCAGGCCACCTACCGGGGGCCCAGGGGGTCCTGCTTCGCCCCTGATTCCCTCGTCGCCCTTCTCACCCCTGAGGTCCTGCAGTAAAAACAAATCAAGGTCATTACAAACAAACCAACCAAACAGCATTCTGCTAGGTACACTCGGAAAAATCCTTTTTCAGCCCACCGTGTTGAGTTTACGCCCTACTGGTGTGCCGAATGCTAGCACAACCTGAGAGTCCTCCTGTTCCTCACGTTTCAAATTTTATACACAAAATCTCACTAAAACCACACTCAAGCTTTTTCGTAAAAGGAAAATATCTTTTGGATCATGCTGCATGAAACTAACTTAATTCTCTAATCAGCTTTCCTTAAGCTTTTCCAATTGGGTCCTTTTAAATTATTTTACTTGCCTTTCTAATATACTGACAGCATTTTCATTAGGGTCAATGATTTTCCTGTGAAAATGCTATAATAATCATTTGATTCAATAATCAAGTTGGTTTGAACCACTGTTTTCATTTCTATTGTCTTTTTTTATGTGTTTGGTGCAGGGTCTCACTACGCAGCTCGGACTCATAATGATCCTCCTGTTTTCAGCCTCCCCATCACTGGGATTGCAGGCACGCACCATGCCTGGCCTAGGTGGCCGGCATCATTTCTATTCTTTTGTGGTGCTGGGGATTGTATTTAGGACCTCCTGCATGGTAGCCACGTATTCTGTCACTGAGCTACATCCCCAACCCTTTTAAGATAATTAATTAATTTAGAAAGAGGGGCTTGCTAATTGTCTCTGGCTGGCTTCAAACTTCCTATCCTCCTGTCCCAGCCTTCTGAGTTGCTAGGATTACAGGTATCCCCTTAGGACTAGACTATCTTTACATTTCATTGATTATACTTTATCCTCTAATGTAAGTCTTCCATTGAGGGTGCTATCTTTTTCAAACTCAGTTATTTTTCCTGAGTCGAACTTTCAGACCTAGACATCATAAACTGAATGGTTTTTCTAGACAACAAAGTTCCACTGTTTATTGCTTATTGTTGTGTCCTTGTCTATTGTTTTACTTTTGCCAATTACCTCCGAAAAGTTAAGTTATTTTCTTCAGGCTGGTCTTTTTCCATTCTTCAATGTAAGTTATCATTTTGGTTATATCAAAAATTTCCCCATTTTACTTTAACCCCCCATCAGTTTTGTTTTGATAATTTGCATCTCCTGGGGAGAGTGTGGTGTTTCAGCTACTGAACTTCTTTCTGCCATAATGAGGAATTCTAAAATTGTGGATATGGCTGTCCAACTCAGTAAGCATTCTAAAAGCCATTGAATTGTATAGTTAATGAGCAAGTTTTATGATCTGTGTTACGTTTCAATAAAGTTGCCAAAGATCAGTTATCATAAAGACTCATGGATTGCTATTTTATGTACTTATTTACTTTTTATGTATTAGTACAAGGTCTACAGGGTCTCAATACATAGATCAGACTCATAGCGATTCTTCTGTTTTCAGCTTCCCGAGTGCTGGGATTATAGGCATATGCCATCACGCCCAGTCTCAATTGATGTTTCAGTGTGCTTTGGGGCTGGGGTTGGCACAGCACACAGGAGATCGAACCTCAGCTACCGTGCTCTGCCTAAGCAGGTGCTTTAGTCCTTTGAGCTATCTGGACAGATAGTGAACTGTAATTTTAAAAGCTGTATTTTGTGTGCACTATATGAAGCTAGTATTTCAACCAATTGACTTAGCTTAAAAGGGTTTCTTTTTTGTTTTGGTACCAGGGATTGAACTCAGAACCTTGTGCTTACCAGGCAGGTGCTTATGTCACTGAGCTATATCTCTGACCTGACTTACCTCAGAAGGGAAACTTACTTTGCCTTTATCCCTTAGCTCATCTACAAGAACACTGTTTAGCTACCTCTCCCTCCCTTGCCCATCCCCTCCTCAACATACCAGGGTTATGCTTGGGTAGGATTGGTGTATGATATTGCGGATTCACTTTTTGTAAGCATCCAATTATGTTACCTATCCTGGCCACTCCACAGTACAAAAATCAAATGTTAATGTCAACAAAAGGGGACTGTAGTGCTCTTGGTGAAGAAAGGGCCCCAAAGTCCTTGGGGTTACAGTGGCAAGGCAACAATGTCCCATTTGATGGTGATGCCCTTCTACCACTATCTTTAGGGTGCTATCATCTAATTGGATCAGAGTTACCCTATCTACATTAGGGATAGTGAGAGGGGATAGGGATAGAAGGGTTAACAAAATCAGGTTCTAATTCTGACTTGTTAAAGAGTCTTTTTTTTTTTTTAATTTTAGGGAAGGCTCTACAGGGTGTTCAGGGTTTACAGCCTTCAAAGAGCTGGGATTACAGGGGTGCACCACCACACCCAGTCTCAATTGCCATCTCAGCGTGCCCTGGGGGTGGGGCCGGTACGGCAGGCCCAGGGATCAAACCCCTGGCTCTTGCACCTGCTTGCAGGCACTTTAATTCGTTGAGCTATTTGGCTGGCCCCTCTTCCAAGAGTCTTGAAGTGATTTTCCCCAGTTCTTCTCCATCTAACATTCCCAGGTTGACAGGCAAAGGGTGGGAGAGGAATAAAACTTAGAGGCTCAGGAGGGCTGAGCGTGGGCTGGGAGTGGCTTAGATGACAGATGATAAAGGAGACAAGGTAACCAAGACTTCCTCTTAGAAATTGAAAGGCATAGTGTACTGGCACAACTGCAGCATTACCGTTTTGTTATCTGGGCCAGTTAACGTCACGATAACTGTTCCTGGTGGTCCAGGGGGTCCTGCCAGTCCTTTCACACCCTAAAAAGAAGTAAACCCAAGAATGAAAAACTAAGTGTCATCAATATTTGAACTTCACTATGTTCAAAATATCACCTTGCCTCTTTCAGTTCTTATGCAAGGAGAAAAAACAAATGAAAACACATGCTTTTACCTTACCCAGTAAATAAACTGTGTAGGCTGATATACTACAGAGCTTGAAAGAATCTTACCCACTGGGAAACCACAGTATAGAAATTACCTGCTCTCCTTTTTGTCCGACTACATTGTCACCCATGTGACCCTGTCCAAAAACACAAAAAGATATTTTTAAAAATATGAGTGAGTCAGAGCCCATAGAGGTTGAGCATGGGTGCCTGAACATTTGTGCTTGTCTTTCTAATTCATTTTTTTCTTTTACTATCACTTTTTGCTTTTCAGTTAATTTTACTGATACATGTTAGGTATAGAGTGATCAATCACATTCATCACAGGGTGTTTGTATGTGTATATGTTATGTCTTATATTGGTCTTAATTTTAGAAGTACAAAAGTTATTTTAGCTGTTTTTAGAGTATGGCAGCAAGTTGTTTCTTTTAAATGTAGAGATCTTTCTTTCTTTCTTTCTTTCTTTCTTTCTTTCTTTCTTTCTTTCTTTCTTTCTTTCCTTTCTTTTGCAGAACCAGGGATTTGAACTCAGACCCTTGTGCTTGCCAGGCAAGCGCTTATTCTACTGAACCATCTCCCTGGCCCCTTAAATGTGGAGATCTTGAGGTGCAGAAAATGTAAGAGATCTTTTTCATATGGTAACCAGGTGATACGGGCCAACAAGGGGTGAGGAAAGGGGTCCAGTGCAGGGCACAGCCAGTTCAGATCCCGCTGGTTGGCCACTTCCTGGTGATTGCTCAACTTCCTGAACTTGCTCCTTGAGTTCTTGGTGTCCTAGTTTTCCCATCCTAAAAATAAGACGGACGGGGAGCTCAAGTTCCGGGTTCTCAGATTCTAAACTTAAGAGAAAAGCTAAGAATGGAATTCAAGCTATCTGAGTGGACTAGTACTTCAGGGGCATGAGACAAGTGTAATGAGAACAGCTGCCCTTGGCCAGGGCTGGCTGCTATGCATGGAACGTCCCCCCAACAGCTCATGTTGAAATTTGATCCTTACTATGAGGTGTTAAGAGGTGTGGCCGGGGCAATTCACTGGTAACACTAGTACGTTATCCTGGGAGTCACTTGTTATAAGTGATCCCTCTCCAGCCAGGCTTTGCATGGCTCTGGGACTCCACGGATGGTTCCCACCTTCAAAAAGACCTTATTTCAGTGTGGCCCCTCAGTGGGAGCCTTTCTAGCCCCCAGATCTATCAGAAATAGATTTCTTTTTAAAACTAATTGACCAGTCTGTGGCATTATGTAATAGATGAACACAACAGCCACCCATCAGTGCAAAATCCCTTTGTTTTTGTGCTTCGGAGCTCTGCAGCTCTTTATCCCTAATAGCTTGGAAGAAATTGAGGAATCAAAAGGCTTTAAACCTTGGCTCTGCCATTTATTGCATCCAAACATATCCATTTCATTAAGGCAGTAATGAGGAATCTTCTAGAGACCTAGTTCCCAAACTGCAACCCAAAACCCACTTATTTATGGCAACGTGTACCTTTGTGCATTATCTGCTGCTCAAGTGCTGGCGTGGTGTTGAGGAGACCCAGCAAGCATGCTGTCAGAAGGTTCTGTGTGCCCCCCGTGGCATGTGTGCCATAGGCTTGCCAGCACTCAATAGTGTTTGCATGTGTGTGTGCATGAATGTATGTGAGTGTGTATGCATGTGTGTGTTTGTGAAGTACTATGGGAAATACTTAGTAATAATTTCCTTGAGGACTTGGCTTCATTTGACAGTTAACTAACAATTTAGCCTTCAAATAGAAACAAAATTGATAGCATAAAGTGTTGGATGACCAGTAGGATTGTAATAAAAGATGCATCCTCCCCCCAGTATACTTTGGTTTCTTAATTGCCCAGGTAACAGTTTCTGTTCTGGTTCTGGTTGTTCCTGTCTCTTAGAAAGGGCCGGTCATTGTGATGCATAGCTGATCACTGTGATGCACATTGTATAAACCAATCCCCAATGGGCAAGTCACTCTGCCCTGTACTTCCTGCTTGCTTATTCTGGAAGCCCTAGACCACTGGAGATCAGGGCCAGATAGTCTGGGCATGATCCTGATTTGTGCCCATCAGTGTAAATCAAGCCTCCAAATCCTTAGTGTCGTTTTGGTGCTTGACTTCCCATAGCAGGGTTATCAGAAATGGAAAGATTATGGGCTAGGAATCCTCACCCTTTCCCCTGCTATCAATTTCCCTTCTATTTCAAATAAAACTCAAACAGGGACAGAGTTGCTGACGCCCTTCTCCGCCGAGAGTTCATGTATGCTCAGAGTCCAGGTGGGGGAGAGATCTATGTGGGGAAGCAGGCTTGGTTTTGGGGTTCATTAGGGCATTCAGACTGCGTGTGACCTGGGTCTCACCTTAGGTCCCATATGTCCCCTCGCTCCTGGAAAACCCTAGGAAAATCCACAAATGAAAATCACAGCAGGAAACATACCCAGTCAGAAAACTTTAAAAGTATTTTGCTATAATGAATTTGCTGAGACATGATGAGGTTATACTCACAAGGAGTCCTGGAGGTCCAGGTGGGCCAGCAGGCCCAGGCAGGCCTGGGGGGCCTGGCAGACCCTGAAGTTAAGGGAATGATAGGAATATGTTTAAATATACTTCTCACCTTAGGACCATGTCCATTTGTTGAATGCATCAGAATATCTTCATAAAACCAAAAGAGTATAATGCATACCTTCTAAGAGGCTGCATTTAATTAAAAAAATATACCATAACAGCTGGGAGCATTCAGATGTTACTGTTTCCAAAAACAAGATGAGGGCAGTTACTTTACTTTAGAAGGTTTCAAAAGTTTGCTTCCACTGCTTTCTCTGTCGCCCTGGTTTTGGCCGAGTATGATCTTCTCCCAGCGCCCTGTCCTCCTCTTCCAGGTATCTGTGTGGCTCAGCCGTCCCTTTCCATAAGACCTCTCCAACTACCCCAGCTCGGAACTCATCTTCTGCTCCAAACTCTGGCTGTCTCCTCTTCCCTACATCAATTTTCTCCTCTGTGTTCACTATATTAACTTATAGTCCCTTTCTGTTTTCCTAGTAAAATATCATTTCCAGAAGTTTTTGAAGCTTTTTTTTTTTTTTTTGCTGATGTATATTCTATTGCATCCCTAAAGTCTAAAAAAAGTCCTTGCCACATAATTGACATCTAATAAATATTTATGTATCTTCATAGCCATTCTAGATAACCCTCATGAGGATGAGGCAAGCAGAGGATTTAAGGGGAGAAAGTTGTGTTTAAATAAATTTCTTTTATTTATTATCATGTCAATTTTGAAATAAGACCATTATTAACATTACAGTTGTAAATGGCATTCAGTGCCTGGTACAGACTCATCCTTGATTTCAACAAACATGGATTAGATGCAACATAACTTCCCTGAAGATTCTTTACATTCAGGAAAGCTTGGGAGAAATGTGTTTTAAGGAGAGATTGAAAACTATACAAAATCATCTTTGCATACCGGCATCCTATAGTTTCTTGTAATAAAGTGTGTGCTTTAGAGTGAAATGGGGCAGATGTGTAAGTAAGAGTGAGTGCGAATTTCTGAAATGTTAAGAGTGAGAAGGACGTATGGGGGGAAGAGGTGGAGGAGAGAGAGATGCAGGTGGAGAAAGGGAGGGAGGGAGAAAGAGGGAGGAAGGGGGGAGAGAGAGATGGGGTGGAGAGAGGGATGAGAGAGAGAGAGAGGGATGAGAGAGAGAGAGAGAGAGAGAGAGAGAGAGAGAGAGAGAGAAACAGGAAAGAGGGGTCCACCTCCACAGTTGTACCTGGAATCCTGGAGGTCCTGGCCACCCCAGGTCACCTTTTCCATTGAATTCTCGGCCTTCTGCTTGAGCAGGAACACCCTTAAAATTGGGGACATTCATCAAATTTTATTGATGTTGCATTTTCAAAACTCCTTTACACACTGACTGAACGTCAGTCATCCTGCCTCAAAGAGAGGAGTGACTGTCAAGTTATGAACTTAAAAAAAAATTTAGAATTTTGTAGCTAGCTCAATCTGAAGGATTCAAATCATTTTCACATTTTCTGAGCTGACAGTCTATTGTTGTAGGATGGAAGATTATAGGTTTAATAAATCATTTCCCAAGATTCCATAGTTAGCGGTATTTCCTCATCTCAGGTGTGGCTGTCTGGGCATGGGTCAGTTCTCTTCCCCCAGACTCTGTGTCCCTAAAGGATGATACAAGCTTGAGACCATTTATGACATGAGCCCAAAGAACCTGTTCAATAGGAGTAAATATCAGGTCCTACTTATGATTTTGCGATATATATATATATATATATATATATATATATATATGTATAATTTTGATGCCGTGTCTCCCTACATAGTCCAGGCTGGCCTTGAGCTCACAGTGATCCTCCTACCTCAGCCTCCCAAGTGCTGGGATTATGAGTCTGCCATCATATCCAGCTAATTTTGGAATTAATAAAGCCTGGATTATGGAATCTAATTTGTGATGGCTTATACAGAATTGGTTAATAGGTCATTTTCATATATATCCTTAGAAACTTTCAATAATAGCCATCCACAAAAGGACTTACCTTTTGTCCTTTCAAACCAGTAGCCCCCTAAGAAAAAGGCCACATGTTAATAATTGCAGGTGATCAGATACCCACATACTTCCTGCATCTCTCTTACTCTGCCTTTTCTCCCACTGCCTACTTCCAACTGCCTGTTCAACATACTCCAGTCTCTTCCTTAAACAAACCAGCAAAGTCTACCTACCTCCCAGGACTGCCCTGTCTCTCATCTAATGTGAAAATGTCCCCCTCTTTTTGTCTCCCCCTCATTCCTCATTTCCAAATCTGCATCCTGGCTCCAGCCTGGCTCTAGCCCTTGCAAACTTCTGCCATGACTTTGATGCTGCAAAAACTAATGCCAGCACGTCAGTTCCTACGTTGGTGGGCTTCTCAGCGGCTTTAGGCAGTTGCCTGCCACACCCTCTCCTACTGGGTTCTCCTTATGTACAGGGGGATTCCTTCTGACCTAGATGTTGTAGGCTGGAGCTAGGTCTTAGTTCTGAGGCTCTCATGCTAGCTTTTTTCTCCCCTTGGAGCAAGCACACCTTGGCCTATTAGGCATCTCTACCTGGACATCTTAAAAAGCAAACCCAAAATCTTAAGAGTCTGAAACCTGCACGCAGTGCCTTCATGCACTCGTTCCCTATTAGCGGGGCTAAGTTATGTTATGGCTGCCCCAGCCTTTCCACAGTTGTGGCAGATTTGTGTACATGGCCATGTGAAACAGACTGTTTTGCTCATAAGGAAGAAAAAGATGTGCAAACCTACCATGAGCCCTGGGTATCCCGGTGTCCCTGGAAGCCCTGGAAACCCTTGTTCACCCTGGAAGACACAAAAACTTTGTCACTACTCTCAGTTGCTTTAGAACAGCCTATTTAGATAAATATCCCTATCCCTCTCTCCCAACCATGCCATGACAGATTTCTTTTCTTTCTTTTTTCTTTTTTTCTTTTCTTTTTTTGCCAAACCAGGGATTGAACTCAGGCCCTTGCACTTGCCAGGGAAGCGCTTATTGCACTGAGCCATCTCCCCGGCCCCTACCATGACAGATCTTGACAAATAACTCAAATTCCTTGTGGTTATTGGGCTGTGAGGTTGAAGGCCAGAAAATCATTATCTTAATTGAAAACAAGATTGGAGTCTACTGTTTCTCAAATTGCGCATAAGTGGCAGTCTAATTGTGCCAAGAACTTTCTAATTGCTGCTTCCTCAAAACTTTAGTAATTAGTTCATTCATGGCCACCATGAATGGGAAGAGAAGAGCCCATTTAGAAGACAAAAGGGGGTAAGCCAACCTTGCAAATCTCAGTTCTTCCTTTCCAAAGACTAATTTCACACTCAAGGCTTTTAGTTTCTGATTTATACTAGCAAACTCCGTTGAAAATAACAAGCTGATCTCAGCCCCCATTTCTTTCTGTTGGAGAACATGGCAGAACTTCCTTCAAATACATACAATTAGGAAGCAAAGGATAAAGAGAAAGGAATAGGCAGATTCCTAGCTCCAAATCATATTGCTGATTTAACGAAATCAGTGTTTTGAGTAAGCATATTTCCGTCTCGTTGCTACTTTCCCCTGACTTACTGACTCCATGAAGCGCACGTCAGTCATCTGTGTGAATAACACTGACCTTAGAACCATTGCATCCTGGGAAGCCAGGAGGTCCATAGGGCCCAGCATGGCCTGGGAGGCCCTTAAAAGAGAACAACAGAAGAACCAGTTAGGAAACCAAGGGAATATATGACCTTATCTAAATAGCTACTGAAACATAAAATGTGTTTAAATAGCAAATTTAAGATTTGTCTTTAAATGTAATTTACTAACCTAATGGGGCAAGCCAAAGAGGCCAATTGAAATGAAAACAATCAAGTGAGATGAGGGTATTTCAGACAGTGCAAAGACCATTCTGCAGGGGCTGAGGTCCCTTGCCCAACTGCTATAAACTGGGGAGAAAGCAAGGGGGAAAAGAGGAAAGTGTGCCCAAGAAGGGAACTCTTTTATTATTCTATGCATTTAAACAGAGCCATCTTATTGTATTGTATCTGTTCTACTCAACTCTGCCTGTATTCGGGGAGATATGATCTAACTCATGTATCATACAAATCAACCTTATAATAAGTTATTCAGGTCTAACTTGCCATTGTCTTCCTGGAGCAGATGTACCAGAACATATTTCTCTGTGCTGCTATCCTAATGCTTTCATCAGTATTAGCTTATTTTTAATTTTTTCAGCCACAATAGTTTTTCCATTACTTACTGGAAGTCCAGGAGGACCTGAAAATCCTGGTAATCCAGTTATTCCCTAAGACATGGAAAAGAGGGAGGGGTAAGAAAAACAATTCAAAAATGTTCACTCTGCACCCATGAACTTATTTCCATTGCAATAATTTTTCCCTGCAGCTATGGTTGGGAATACCTAAAAATATCAGAAAAACAGAAAGTTTTAAAATCCCTTATAAATTTGACATATATGGAGATTTTAAAAAGATGTTGTTAAGGTTGATTTTGGCTTTGGGGGATGTATTTTTAAGGTACATTTTGCATATAATAAAATGCTTGCATCTTCTGTGAACAGATTAATGAATATTTACTGGTGCACACTTTTAAGTTACCATCAGTGCACCATGAAATAGCAAACCCAGTGCTCAGGAAGCCTCCCGTGCCCCTCCCTGTCAGCCAGCACCTGCCCCTAAGGTGGTGACCTCTCTTCATTCACTATCTATTACTAATGCCTGCTCTTAAACGTCATCTATGGACATTTTTTATATACTTACTTCCTTCTGTCATTTGTACAAACTTTATGCTGCAGAGTTGATCTTTTTAAAAGAAGAATGTTTACCAAACCATCAGGACGGACTGGTTGGACTACTAACCCTTATACCTTTGGGACCAGTGAGTCCTGGAAGTCCCGGGGGGCCCTAGATCCAAGGGAAGAAAGAAAAAGTAAGTGCTGTGGAAACCCATGGGAGGCACGAAGAAACCACACATTCCTGATTCCAGCTGTGGTCACGTGCCAAGTCGGTAGGCTTTTGTAGCTGTTTTGTTAATAAGGCTCGATTGTTTGCTTGTTTCATCTTACAAAATTTATTCCGGGGCTTGGGAAGCAGCTCAGTGGTGGAAGGCTCACTTAACATATGGAGGATTTAATCTACGGAACACATGGATGTGCATGCACGCACATGTGTGCGCACGCACGCACACACACACACACAAATGCTTGGTACCCAAAGGGGGTTTTGGGGCACGCAACATTAACGTGTGGGTGCTTGTTAGAGATGCGGACTGTCAGGCACTCGCCTTCTCTGCCTCGCCCTCTTGCTTACCTACCATACTCAATGATTTAGAATCTGCATTTTTGACACTATTCTTTGGCAGTTCTCTTGCGCATTAAGTGTTACGTATCCTTGCACCAGCCAGTCAGCTGTGGGGCCTGCTAAAGATGAACGCCGTAGTTATGCCAGCAGACGTGAATAACCATCCATGTGTTCTTAGCAAAGCACTGTATGCCTGACATGCACAAGTAAGTAAATAATGATGCTAAGGTTGCCTGAAGCAGAGGTAGTCGTGCTCTGGTGTATAATACAGGTTTGAGGGCCTGCTTCTTGGAGAATAACCTTAAAGGGAGAATGTTTTAACTAAGCCACTTGCTGTGAAATTTCCACTGTCCAAAAGCTGCTGGCATCATTCCAGAGAGTTTCAGCATATTTTGATATTTATTTATTTTTTTTTTGGCAGAACTGGGGATTGAACTCAGACCCTTGCACTTGCCAGGGAAGCACTTACTCTGCTGAGCTATCTCCCCAGCCCTGATATTTTTGATAATTTGAGGAAAGAGTGTCAGAGTCTTCTGAGATTGGACCGTCAAGGCCACGGTCAGCCTTTCCCACATGAGGTGCAATTCCTGGCTGCATAGGCAAGCTAAGGCTGTTCTTGGCAGGAGGCGGGGTTATGCAGAAGGCATATTCATGACCTGCAAGTTAGACCTCCCCACTGCAAATTTTCTCATGCAGGAAATGTTGAAAATTAAGAAAGGAAGCTTATAAATCTGAAAAGTAGTTTTGATCAAGTTGTAACAGTCTCTAAAGGTATTGGGTTGAATTTTTATTCAAGGCTATACATACTTAAATACTATGTTTTAAAATATGAACTTCAGGGCAGCGTGACACAGATTTTGAGCTGATTTTATGGAATATTTGAACACTGGTAATCCCCCCAAGCACCATGTGTCAATGGGCATTATTTTAGCTGACTACTGGCATCTCTAAGGACAGGGGCAAGCAGAGGAAGATAGAAAGAAGGAGGGAAAAGGAAAGGCTGGTCTCAATCTAGGTTTCAAGTGGTGAGCTCCTACCAGGGGAGTGGAAGCAGATACCAGTCCAAGCCCCAGAAGAATCAATGGAATGTTCAGACTCTGCAGAATCTGAATGACTTTTCAAAAGCAGCAGAGAAAGAGACTACGTACATTAATAGGACAGGCATGGAAATGGGAGTACCCCCCAAAGATACCTTTTGCATTTTTACTGTACAGTATCGGTGTGGATTTGGTTTCCTGATTTCAAGAGTTTTATTCTTGCTTTGGATATGTGTTATAAGAAATATTTACATTTGATCTTTGCCCTCAGTTCCTAGTATAGCGCTCCTAAAATTCTTATTTCTTTAATGACATAGGTACAAGGAATATCTTTTGTTCTAATACAAGGTCTTTGATTCTGACTACTGACACAGAGCCCCTAAGTTGCTTGGAATTTTCTCGGGGATAGAAATGGCTTTCACTCAAATTTGACTCTTGGTGTTACCATGGATGGTGGTCGCTCATGGAAAAGAATCAACTTCACTTAGAAGCTTGAAACTTTCTGCTGTGGTCCGCATCCTCCTGTGAGCGGAGGGGAGCTGGAGACTGTTAGTGGTTGATCCTGCTTTTGTGAGAAAGCCTTGCTAGGAATCCCTACATGGTGCAGATCTCCGAACTTCTGGGTTGGCGCATGCTGATGTCATAAGGGCAGAACCTCCTCAACTTGGGTCTTGTCCAGATCTCACCCGGGATGCTACCTCCTCAGCCGGCACTTCATACATATTCTTCTCATAAATGTAAACATAAGCAAGCATTTCCATGAGCTGTGTGAGTTGTGAAAGCTAACTGTCAAGCCTGAAGTCCCAAGAACTTTAATTTATAGTTGGAAAGAAGAGGGGGTAAGCTGGGAACCCGCTACTGGTGATTGCCATCGAAGTGGGTACGCTGTGCCATCTCGTGGGATGAAACTCTTGCCCTGTGGTGTCTGCTCTAACTCCCAGCATCCGGTGTTAAATATAACTCAGAAAGAGGGTAGCCAGCCGATGTCCAGCTAGAAGTTAGTATGAGAAGACACCCCACATTGTATAACCAAGATTTGCAATCTGATTTGCATGTGATCCGGGACAAATGACCTGAGTACCCTGCCAGTTTCCGTAGCCATGAAGTGGAGTGTCAGTGGGAACGAGGCTGTGAGTCACGACTTACAGGGTCAGTGTGAGGATGAGCGATTGAGACATAGTGAAGGAAAAAACGGCCCAGTTTCTGCCACAAAGTCAATACACAGTACGTTGGCTTTGATTATCATTTAAATATTGCATACATTCTGCTAATGCATGTTCTAACACAATATGGAATTTTATTTATTTATTTTTTTGGTGGTACCAGGGATCAAACTCAGGACCTTGCGCTTGCCAGGCAAGCACTTATTCTACTGAGTTATCTCCCTGGCCCTAAAATATGGAATTTTTAAAAAGGCAGTATAGATACATTGTAATTGTCTTTCATAACTTATTAGTTGGCTCCTAGCTTCCCAGACACCAGTAGGCAGGGGAGTGAATCTGTATACGTGGGAGCCCAGACTAAGTCCAGACAATGTCCTTGGCAGGAAAGAACACTTAGCGCTGCCAGTGGTCATGCAGTTATTCAGTAAATCTTCTTGGGTGTTTATTGAACGAAAGCCCTTGGTGGGTCACAGACTTTAGAATAAAATTGTATGATTTGTGTGAAGGGTAGCAGGCTCTGGTACCTTTTCTGGTAAGAAGCTTAGAAGGCCAATGCTTAAGGGACCAGGTGAAGAGGACCTCATCAAGGAAGGAATGCATGAGGAAACAGGAGAAGGGGCCGGGGAGATAGCTCAGCAGCTTAAGCTCCTGCTTGGTAAGCTCAAGGTCCCAAGTTCATTCCCTGGTAGTGTCAAACAGCAACAACCACAACTAAAACCACCACCACAACAACAAAAAGGAAAAAAAAAAACCCAGGAGGATAATCAGGGGTAAAAGATTCCAAAACAAAGACAAATAAACATGTCAAGGAGAAGAGAATGGTCCACATAATAACCTGAAACAAAGCAGAGGGTCTCAAGTCAGATAAAGACACCAAGGTACCCATTCATGGTGGCCATTGGTGACGTTCTTTTTTCTTCTATATTTAGTGCAGGGTCTACAGGGACTACAGGGTCTCACTACACAGATCGGACTTGTAGTGATTCTCCTGTTTTCAGCTTCCCAAGCACTGGGATTACAGGCCTGCGCCACCATGCCCAGTCTCAGTTGCTGTCTCACCGAACCTCCAACCCCTGGGTCTGCCTAAGCAGACGCTTTAATCCACTGAGTTATCTGGCCGCCCCTGCCATTGGTGACTTTTACGAGGATGTTTTCAGGGGAGAGGGACAGATGGCAAATTAGCACCAGCTAAGGAGTAGCAGAGAAACTGCAGGCAGAAGGTTTATTCCTTCAAGAAGCTTGATGCAAAGAAAAGACAGAGAGGCTAGGGCAATATTTGTCTATAGGACCTCATAAATATCACTGGGAGTCCGATAGCAGTGCGGTAAAATATTGTCATGTGGTGGCGTGAAAGAAAAAAGCCAGTTTCAAAAGTGAAGTTGGAATGCATAGTGAAAGAGGACATATTTCCTGAAGCAAGCCTGCTACCTTTCACACTAATCATACAATTTTATTCTAAAGTCTGTGACCCACCAAGGGCTTTCTTTCAATAAGCACCTGAGAGGATTTACTGAACAACTGCATGACACTGGCCACATTAATCATTCTTTCCTGCCAATGGGAGTTGCAGTGGCCTGGAGCAGGTGTATGGATCAGTCTGCATAGACGGTGGACAGACTTCATTGTCTCCTGGAGGAGAAGGAAAGGCAGGGCTGATGCATGCATAGAACTGCATATGAGGGGAGGCAAAGGAAGGGGCTGAGGAAGGAACTCAAGGTTGATGGTGATCACTTGCGGTTCTCCTAGAATAGGATGGTGAGGGCTCAAGACTTGTTCGTGTAGGCACTAGTGAGCCACATCATGCAATTCTCTCTGGAGTCTCAGGCCTCTGAGGTAGGCGTGAAGTAGTATTAGGTGAGTTGGGGGATTTTTTTTTCTCAAGCTTACCTTGGGTCCCTGTGGTCCAGGCAAGCCTTCAGGACCTGGGAATCCTTTCTGGCCTGGAGAACCAGGGGGTCCAGGAAAGCCTTTCTCCCCCTGTTGAAACCGAAACAAGATGAGGAGCACAGAGAATATTCTATCATTCCACAACGGACATACCCATGACCACTAAGTTCTCATCTTTATTGACTTTGCGATGACAGTTTACATACTTTTCTTGGATTAAGACAATATTAATTAGCACTCTGCAGGGAGTGTGAGGCTTGTTGTCTGTAGGCTTGAGTACTTTCCTTGGGGTTGTAGAAACTTGGCTTCCCCACAGAGCAGAGCTGGGCAGGGCAGAGAGGAAGGAGAAGGAGTAGGATGAGTGGGAAGCCGGGTTAGAGAAGTCAAAACAGTGGAATGAGCTCGCTGAGGCAGGGACTGTGGGCAAGTCCCAGAATGTGTTTGGTGAGTGTCACTTCAGCGAACACTACATGCAGGTTATTAGTTTTGGGCCTTTTCTTCTTACACAGGAGTCAGCAACTCAGTGTGCTCTCTGTGTGCACGATGCAGGAGCTATCTCAAAGGTAACGGAGACAAAGAGTGAGCTGAAGGTTCTTTTGGAGGGAGTCAGCCTTTACTATGGGAAGTCCCTGGGGTAGTGACCCGAAGCTCATCAGGCCCCATGATTGAAAACAGTCAACCAGCGAGTATTCTTCCCGTGGGTGTGGATCCTTGCGTTAGTCCTTAACAGTGAAGGGTACTGGATATTCATGTACTTTCATTACACAACAGGGAAAAACAACCAAACCAGCTATTTTATATTTGTGCATAGGAATGCATTCTCCTACTAGGAAGAAGAGAGCAAGAACAATTTGTGAAAGCCCATCACTACTTAGGTATTTTTTCATATTCCAGAAGTGCAAGTATCCTGTCTTGCAAATAGTAGACAGGAAATAAATGCTAAAATGCAAGATGAATCATAGACAGGGTATTTGCCAACATAAATCAGAATATCCACTCATAGCTTCAGGAAAATGCCTCAGTCAAAGTACACAGGAATTATAAAATCATTTAAAATAGATGTAACAATAGTAGTTACAGTGAACATACAACTTACATGTAAATAATTTCATCTAAAGAGCTTAAAATATATTTTCTTAAAATATTTTTACATGGACATCTTTCAGTATTATCAAGCAATTAGTGTCTCTGAAGAAAGAATTTTGCAAACAAAGGACAACTTTAGTTCTGCCCCTGTCTTTATTATCACAAATTGCAAGTTAATGGAGCGAATTAATGAGATTTCACAGCATTCCTGTTTTTCTGGAATTGTGCGATAGAGCTATTTCTAGTTCCCTCTGCCCAACTTTGATTTCAACTAGCACGCAGCTGCAGCGCGCTTCCACCAGGGGGAGATCTTGTACCAATACCGCGGTAGAACATCAGGTGGCTGGCTAGGCGTACTTTAGGTCACGATAAGCGAATCATGTTGTTTTCTTTCCTCTCCTGTTTGGCAATATTGTAAATAGTGTGGAGGCTTTTTGAGAATTTTCTTTTTCTACTAACTTCCTTCTGATTGTCTACCAACCATGAGAGTTAACAACCGAATGGCCAGTATATGAGGTTCCTCCCCCTCCAAGTTTTTTTTTTTTTTTTTGGAGGGGGGAAGGCAGGGGGTGGATGGATTGTGTGTGTGTGTGTGTGTGTGTGTGTGTGTGTGTGTGTGTGTGTCGGGAATCGAACCCAGGGCCTTGTGCTTGCCAGGCAGGCGCTGTGTTGCTGCTGAGCTAGACCCCCAGCCACGTTCTGTTTTTGTTTAGACACACTTACTTTAAAATTGGATTTGGGGAATGGAACAACAGACCGATGGTTTTCTCTGCTGCTGGGGGAGGAAGAGCGTTGAGTCACTTGACACGCACAGTGAGAAAATCAGACTTAGGCTTTGCTTTTACCTTCTCGCCTTTGGTCCCACCGCAGACACACGGGCCTTTCTCCGCACAGGCGCAGCCCTAGGAGGAGGGAAACGGGAAGGGTTTTAAAACAGCTGCACAGATCCCAGCGGATGATCAGGCAAGGCAAACGTATTTCTAGGTCTGCTGAGTCCCAGGTGCTCCAGGGATGCTGCGGCGACTCATCAGTAAAAACCGCAGAGAACTAAGAAGATGCCGCATTGTCAGAGAAACGGCAGAGGAGTGCCCATCCTTTTGTTATACTTAGGAATTTTAGGGAATTTGTAGAAAAGACAAAAACTAGCTTTACTTTACTTTACTTTACTTTACTTTACTTTACTTTACTTTACTTTACTTTACTTTTCTTTTCTCTTCTTCTTCTTCTTCTTCTTCTTCTTCTTCTTCTTCTTCTTCTTCTTCTTCTTCTTCTTCTTTTCTTCTTCTTCTTCTTTTTTTTTTTTTTTTTGGCAGAACCGGGGGTTGAACTCAGGCCCTTGCTTTTCCGCCCCCAAAATGATTGGTTGGCCCACAGGATGCTGCGACGCTCCTGAGTACAAGGCGGTCTAACGTGGTCAAGTTCATGAGTTCCTTCCCTGGCAGTGAGCTCCGGAATCCTTGCCCTACCTAAGCTTCACTTCCACACAACCTCCACCCTTCAACATACACCCATTCTAATGAAGGTCACCCTAAGGTGCCGGGGAGATAGCTCAGTAGAATAAGCGCTTGCCTGGCAAGCGCATGAGCCCGAGTTCAATCCCCGTACTGCAAAAACAAACAAAAAAAAAACTTCTAATGAAGGTCAACCTTTGAAACTTTTATCTGCCTGTAGAACAACTGAGTAAAGTAGTTAGAAATCCTGGGTTTCACGTGTTCTGACAGACACGGTACATTCTAGGGTTGTATATTAACCCTTTTCCTGTTTTTGTTTCTTCAGGTCAAAGTTAACAGAACGTCAGTTTGCTTTCCTAAGGAGGGAAAAACTATCTGTTACTAGTCGATGTAAGAGGTAGGCTGGTTGGAGGATCTGGAGATTAAAAAGCAAATGTGAGTCCTAAAATAGGGAATTCCGTTCCTGTGGAAAGGTACCCCAACTATTAATTGAATATATTTCCTCAGACTAGGACAGTGGTGCTTCAGCCCCACAGAGGGGAATTCACACCGATTTTTGGACACTCACCATCGATGTGTACCATATTTATGCACATTTGAATTTCTATGCATGGAAAGTAATGGACAGGAAACCGCAGTGTCCCATAGTACTGGGTATTTGATATTTGTAGAAGATTAATCCTTCCAATTTTCCTGCCACCTCTGTGGGGTCATTCAGTCATATTACGACTTAACTATGTTAACCTGGACTTTTGGAGTTTTTAATCTGCTTCTCTTCCTCCTCCTCTTCCTCCTCTTCCTCCTCCTCCTCCTCCTCCTTCTCCTCCTCCTCTGTATTTTAGGGAAGGGTCTACAGGGTGTTCAGGGTCTCACTACTAGATTGGACTCATAGTGATCTGCCTGTTTGCAGCCTCCCAAGAGCTGGGATTACAGGAATGTGCCACCACGCTCAGTCTCAGTTGCCATCTCAGTGTGCCCCAGGGGCAGGGCCAGCATGGCAGGCCTGGGGATCGAACCCCCAGCCCCGGCACCTGCTTGCAGGTACTTTAATCTGCTGAGCTATTTGGCCAGCCCTTAAATGTCTGTGTTTATGTGGGTCACTGATGTAAGGACACCCTACTAAGGCCACCATATGTAAGTTTGGCTTTCTCAGACCGGCAGCTTCCCTTACCTGGGAGATGCTTTTGTTCTTGGACACAAACAAAAGCTTCCTGAAGGCCAGGCTTTGCAGGCTTTTGTTTGAGCAAGTGTAAGTCCCCTTCCCGGTGGTTAGTGTCATGCTCTTCTGCCCAGTGGAGGAGAGCCCAAGCCTCACATGGAGGCCGCCTTGTGCAGCCCAGGAAGCTACCATGGGCTGGGGCTTGGCACACCAGTGTGCGTGGAGCCCCTGCTTGCAAACAGACAGTGAGCATCTTGGATTCTGCAGCCCCGCAGATGCTGCACAGCACCTGAACTCAGAGCACCCGAAGGCCAGAGAAAGGAGAAGCAGATCTCTACTCTTCTAACCCCTGGGAAGGAACCAGGTGACCCGGGGGTGAGTGACAAGCACAGCTTCATTTCTTGAAATGATTGTCATATTTGTCATTCGTCATTGGAAGTCTTACAATTTTATTTTAAAATGTATTTGGTGCAGGGTCTCCCTTCCTCAAACAAACTGTCATTTGTTCCAGGCTGTGGCGGCTGTCCTTGAAGGAGGAGCAGTTGTCCGCATTTTGGCTGCGCCTGGCCCTATTTCCATCTATTGATATGTACAGAGCTGGCGAGGACTTTTCCTTACCCTTTCAGTTGGCTTTAAACAGTGGGTATGGGTCCAGGCCAAATGCTGATAGGTAGTCTTTTTTTTTTTAAGCGATATGCAGCCATTGGAGCAACATACAATACAACACACACAGACACACACAATATAGTGCAATAAATACTCATATCCTCATATTTAGGCTCACAAACTTGTGACATGTTATCCAACCCATTTCATTTCTCTCTCTTCCTCTCTCTCTCTCTCTCTCTCTCTTCCTCCCTC